GAAAGATTGAGTTTTGCACCAGACCCCATATAGTATTCTTCTACGAGCTCAAGCTGAGCTTGTATACTTGCTATGGAGCCTGCCAGGAGAGTCGTGTCGTCTGCGAAGAAGACACCGGTGGACGTGTGATCATCGTTGAGGCACACTCCAAACTCTTCATGGGATCGCAAATGTTTCCGAGAGGCTCAATAGCGATCAGGAAGAGAAGCGCAGAAAGCAGATCGCCTTGTCTTACTCGTCTTGTCAGATACAATGCTGGCTGGATGTTTTGGTTGATGACAAGGTGGGCTTGGGAATCGGTGTACGGCAATTTCACACACTGTGTAAATTCTGAACCACAACAGTTTCGTTCGAGCACACAAAGCATACTCGATCAAATGCTTTTTCGAGGTCCAAGAACAGAGCATAAGCTTCTTCTTCTCGACTTGTCACCAAGTCCTGCAGATCCGCGAGAAATCGCACATGGTGGTAAATCGAGCGGCCCTTGACGAATGCCTTTTGATCGGGGTGGATCAAGCTGGGGATAATTTGCTGGAGTCGGTACGTCAATACATTAGACAGTATTTTGACATCTACCGGGATCAGTGCGACTGGACAATAGTTGCCGGGTTGTGCTCTAGACCCCTTCTTGTGGAGAAGCACGACGGCAGACTTGCGCTGAGACGGAAGCAGGATCCCGCGCTGTAGCTGGTCATTGAATATGATACTCAAGCATTCACCAGACACGTTTGGAGCAAGCTGGTAAAAACCAGCAGTCAATCCATCCATCCGTGGTGCTGAAGTCGCGTTCATGTGTTTGATCGCTCGCGAGGCTAGAAGGTGTAACGGGGGTATGGGTATTTAGTATGTCCCTATCCAACTCTGATGCCAATTTAACGATAGATTCCAAACGTTTGCACTGCATGGCCTCGTCAGGTGGATGAGCTCTGCCTGTTGGACTGGCGAAATCTCCCATCTCTGATCCCTAGTGCTCCAAGAAGCGGAGTGATATCTCTTGAGAATTGGATGACGCACTGTCACTCTATGATCACCTCCTCAATCGATACCCTACTCAAGCTTGTGTCAAGTGGACGAAAGAAGTGTTTGGTGGATTTCTTGGAATTGATTGCATGGAAGTCGAACACAGTATCTTGATTGTACTGGCTTGCCCTCGTGACCACATCTTTGTAATTCCTCATGGCGACATCACAGATCTCGTGATCACTTTCGTTCGACGACACGCGGTACCGCGCAGAAGCTTGCTCCAGCGAGACACGGGCAATATTGACAGCTTGTATATCTTTCATCCGAAGCTTCTTTTGCAAATCTTGCAATTAGCGCTGAATATTTTTCTTCCATTTTTCCCAATTCTTTCTCGGGTTTTGAGCGATGCGCAGTTGATCGCGGGCCTTCTGTGCTTCCTTCTTGATCGCGGAGCATCTGCGCTTCCTTTTCGATCGCGGATACCACAAAAGGGTAATCGAGAAGGCAGCGTGGAAATTTTCAGTACCCTTTGCTGTGCAACTGTGATCCAGGCTTGAGACGTACACTGTGGGCTAGGTGTTCGCCGGCATGCTTTGGCAGGAAATATTTAAGTCGTCGTAGAAGCGTTCGTAGAGCGCCTCTGACAGCAAGATATAGTCCAAACGATTATTTCTAGTAAGAGAGCCCGTGAAGACTCGCTTGGTATCGCAATGGATCCGCTACGCGTCAACTACACCCAGTTTTGCCAGCCACCTCAAGCAACTTGAGCGACCAGGGTCATAGAGCAAGTTAGGAGACGACGAATCTAGTTTGGAGTTCAAGGGAGTGTTGAGATCACCCAACACCAGGCGTATCGCCTGATCTTCAAACTCCTCAGTCTCCAGTCTCGAAAAGAAATGTTGTTTTTCGTGCATATCTACTGGCGCATACACGTTGTGAAATTAGATGGGAGTACCTTCTGCTACCACTTTCACAACGATGTATCGACCAAGAACGGACAGCTTGGAGATCTCTTCCGCCGTGTCTAAGCCTGGAAAATTGGAATGAAGTAACGTGAGCACTCCACTGCATCTTCCTCGCACTGGTCGATCAAGAAAGCTGTTGGGATCATTCATGAAGGCTTTGTGCGTGAAGCTTGACTCTAGATGAGCTTGAAATTGGACAGGTGTGTTTTGTCGCTGAATTTAGTCTCTTGTATACAAGCCACCGAGTGTTTTGAGAGCAAGTTGCCAATGAACAAATGACCGTTTTTAATGCCATTGGTGTTGACGGTCAGAAAACTGATATTGCTTCAGGTGATGTTTGATGGTAAAACTTTAGTAACGAGTGGTTAAACCTCCCGCTACGAAATACCACCCCTTTCTCAAGAATTTGGAGCTGCAACACCGACTCATCAACTGGGTAGTACCCGTCAAGCTGCCACAGTTCTTCCAGGTCGTCGAGCAAGTACCTTTGTCGCTGTATTTCGCTCCGTTGCTGTATACAGTAAGAGCCTAACTTGGACCGCAGGAGCATGAGAAATGTATTAGGGTGAAGCAGTCTTGCGTGGCGAGCGGGAATCCACTCCACTGGCTGACCAGTGAGATACTGAATCCAGTGATCGTTGCAGAAGAAAATAGGCTCTATCGACATCAGTATGAGCTCAAAGAAGCTGAGTGCCTTTGTCGCCCGAGAGAGTTCGTTCACCTGCTCAGATTATCTCCTCCACTTGGCGCACGTCTTGAACAACTCTGCTCTTGTCGATGGGACTGTCGTCTTCATAAGCTTCCTCCACTTTGCGTTGAACGTCACATCTTCGCTCGGCAGGGTCGCACTCAGCACGCGATTAATCACGTGTAGCTGCGCAAGCTCCGCAACGCCATGTCCAGAGTCAGCCATCTTTAGCGACAAGGCGCTATTAAACGCAAAAGGCGAGTCCACCGCCATCTTAATGACATGATCTGGATTTGTGACGTTGTCAATGAGTTTGGTTATCCCGTCAACTTGAGAGATTGCTCGAGCAAGACAGTCAGTGCTTTGTTTTCATCGTTCAACATCGACTCAGACACCTCCAGGATTGGAGACGCGTTTGACGATTTTTTATCTTTGTGTGGTGCTTTTCGACAAAGAATGCTGATTCACTCGATGTACTAAGCTCCTCTGGTCGCTTCACATCAACAGGAACAACTTGGTGTCGAGGACCAAACTTCTTGTCCGCGACAACATTCTTTGCTAAGGATACCTCCATAGACTGCAGCACCTGGAAGTAATTTGCTGTGGCAGCACCACCCAGAAGTTGTTGCCGCTGTTTCACGAGCATGTTGATAAAATCGATTCCGTTTCTCGAGCGCTTCTTCTTGTTTGTCACGGTGAAAAAGTTATCCTTTTCATTTGTCAGAAGTAACATTGGAGGTTTATTTTGTGGACTGGGACTTCCAGGCGGAGTTCTCTTGCCATGGGAGTCGTCAAATGTGACAATTGAGAGTACATCAGAATTTTTCTTGGCTTGATCAGTGGTAGTTCAACCGACGAGATGCCATGCTAAGCTCTCTATTAGGGCTGCACTTCTCGTGTTCTTCTCTCCTCGATTGCCATTTGCAACGATGTTTGTTTCAACCTCGCACGTGTAACCTGAGCATAGGTCTATGGTGGTTGCTGTCGTTGTTGCTGAGATTGCTCAGAAGCTGGCTTTTTGGAAGAAAACTTACTGTTTACAGTCCCACGATCGATTCCATGGTGCGAGCGATACCCATATGGATGACGCTCGGAACGGAAGGGAGCATTCTTGCCGTGTGCCGGATGAAGTTTGTTGTCAAAGAGCACTTGGTCACACACAACTCCGTTCACCATCAACGCGCCTGGACATGAGCTGGACAAGAAGTAAACTCTCCATGATGCCGTTGTTATCCCAGTCGCAAGGTTCACCTCACGAAAGGTGTCATACACCGGCTAACACTCGAGGAGGGACAGTCGATGCAAGACCACGTCGATGTGTACATCGAAATCGACGTTGCCAATTTCACTGAAATACTTGTTGCCAAGTATGTCGAACTCCTTAAACGCAAAAGTGCCCCCAAGGATGTTGACCGAGGTGTGTTCCAAGTTCACGCAAGCGTCCTTTGGCTTCACTTTGACGCGAAGATTACCGCATGGAAGCTTTGAAATCTGACCAATTTCGAATCGTTCGTATAGCTGGTCGAGCGCTGCATTACCATGACCTGCGTCAGCCATCGATGTCATGATTTTTTTGGGGCCTTGCCAGTCTCGATCACCATGTAGTATTTGGCGGTCGGGAGCTGATAAGGTCGCGCTTGCTTCATTCGAGGTGCGATAAGCGACCAGACCCCTCCGACAGCGTATTGGTGCTCGATGGCCTCAATGTCGACCACGAGTGGCTTTGGAGTTTCCACGCGACGACGAGCCGCATCAACGGCCTTCTTATCGCGACGAATATGTTCTTGGAGGCGAAGGACTTCCGCCATACTCAGACGCGGGTCCGCGGGTGGAGCTGAAGGAACAGAGGGAGACATCATAGAAATGTCGCCAGAACCTTTTCTGCTCGACCCGCTCGCATTCACCGTCGAGTCTATCGGCTCATCCACCATTGCTTCCCAGTCATTGGGTGGACAATCGGCTACAAGAGGATAATCGCTGGTAGCAAGTTCCATCGCAGAAGGCACAATTTCGCGGGAACGAGGGCCAGCGGGATTATTATTTTTAGATGGGATGAGACGACAGTGGTATCGGTTCCAAAACTGGGTGCTTGCCCAGAAATAGAGATCGGTGCGACACAACAGGGTGCGGGTTAAGTTCGGGAAAATTGTTTCTCCATAAGGAAAGTTGAGGCTGAGATTGCTAGAGAGCTGGGAGAGGGTTCTTAAATTCAGCTTGTGCGATAGCCGGCAAATTGAAAAGTGTGCGACTAGCAGCCCATGTGTACCTCGGACCTATAATTCGTAGCTCCGTAATATTGATATTCGGTACTCTGAATATTTACAATTATATCAAGTGTAATGTACAAACGTTTATATTTGATTCGATAAATTTGCCACATATGTGAAATTAACTAGCCAATATTGGATTCCTGTCCCTTATAAACACACCACACGCCCACGCCACGAGAACTTGCACGACGTACTCAAATCGAGGAAAATCAATGTGTTCTCTTTCGCATCACCAGTACGACTTTTCCAGAACCGCCGTTTTTCACTTCCACGACCCACCCAGCAACGCTTCAGTCGTGAATTGACAGCATCTGCAATCTGCTTGGTCAGGTACATGTCCATACTTATCTACTCTGTCGGAATAACGATATATGAATTGCCGAAGTTAGACGATTTCGATTTTTTTGACATTTCATTTTCCTGCACTTGAAATGAGTTAAGAGCAACCGGGTTCCTATGCGATGCCTACGCCGTCTCTACAGCTATATATCAATCCTGAAATGACAAATAGAAAAGAAGTTTGAAAGGCTCTCGGTTCCGCTTCTGGGTATAGCGCTAAATTTCGTCCTCTCTTCGTTGTTAGTGCACACTCGTAGAGTCAAGCTTCCCCATACAAAGTACACGGCGACTCCGTTGCATGTGATAGTTAAATTCTGCTGTAAACGTCGTTATTCGGAGGGTAGTATCTTATAATGAGCGGTTAATCTGCTGTCTATTTTACAATATCTAATTGTCAGATCTGATGCGACAATCAACCAATTATCGGCTTTATATTTAGTATTACATATTCATCAAAAGCATTCTTGTTAAAACGACTCTCGCCCCAAAAGCTAGCCACGGCTCCCGCCGCCCTTGCGCGCCACCTAGACTCATATTACTGTCTCTAATCGGCCGAATACAAGCTTCGCTTCCTTTCGTTGTGAAGCTGCTTTTTGGAAAGAAAACTTCGTCTGGTATTTGTGGTTCGGAGCCTGCTCAGAGCGTACTTTCCTATTTGAATGTCTAAAGGACCGCACGTACTGCCAAACGGTGCGTCTGAGTGTTCATTCTTACTGCTCTATGTATCTACGCCTTGCAAGTTGCTTGATTTAGTCAATATGGCCAAGACGCCCTTGCAACAGCCTTTAACAGCTTTAGATGCTCACATTTTACCGATGCCTCATTGTTTTCTGCTACAACATAGAACTATATCCAAATGAGCAAGCGCTATCCAAAGTCACCGTCGCCTTCGTCAGGGCGAGCACCACGCTCTCTTTCGCCACCTAAAGGGTCTCCAGTGCATGGCGAGGGCAAGATCTCTTTGCGGGTTGACCAACCGGTGGAGGGATGCACGATGATGACACACGCTTTCTTTCGCTCTGGAGAAGGAGATATTGATGACAAGGACGTGGATTTAGAGTTTCACTGGTACAAATCCTCCATGAGGCGGGCGTGTGCCAATAAAGAGTGCACGCGCCACACCAGTGACGGCGCTGGTAATGTACTGCTGCTTGTTGCCAAGATTGAGTGTGTCCAGTGCTGTAGACTAGGTATTACACGAGAGTACTCGAGTTTCTGTAGTTCAGATTGCTTTCGTTTGGCCTGGCAAGATCACAAGGAATTGCACAACACGCTGGTGTTGGTCAAACAGGAAAAAGATGTCTGTCCTTGGAAATCGCAATTGCATCATCTAGAGACGTTTTGCCCGCTACCAAAGGAATCGTGGCTCAAGGTGCAAGAAGAAAAGTAGGAACCGTGTCGCTGACCCGTTTGGTCGAGACTTGAGTTTCTCACGCACGTGCCGCTCTTGTCTTACAGTCGAGCGTATACGCCTAACGCTGAGGACGTAGGCCACGTGATTCGAGTTGAGTGTAAGGCCATCAAGCGAATTGACGGTGGCGTGCTGACTAAGACTGTCGAGACTGGGCTCGTGCTGCCGTGTAAGTGTGTGCTCTTTTAATAGCTCACTCTTCTCTTGGACTATATTGTGTATTTTTGTGCTCAACCTGATGCATGTGGCTCATCTAAAGTTCCACCCATGCCTCCAAGGCGACAGATGCTAGCAAACGTGAATGAAGAGCGGCTGACACCAAGGCTACGGCAGATAGGCATTTTCCGCGTACTTACTTACAATGTCCTTGCCGAGATATACGCGACGCGACAGATGTACCCGTACTGTCCAATTTGGGCTCTCAGCTGGTCATTTCGACGGGAATTACTCAAGCGCGAGTTGCAGTTGTACAATGCCGACATCCTTTGTCTCCAGGAGGTACAAGGTGACCACTATAAAAGCTTTTTTGCCCCGATGATGGAGAATTGGGGATACGAAGGCTGGTATTTGAAGAAGACACGGGAATCAATGGGCCTAGAAGGCAAGGTGGATGGCTGCGCATTGTTCTACAAGCGAAATCGATTTATTCTTAAAGAGCGATATCCGGTCGACTTTAATGACCTTGCAAATAACTTTCTGAAGCAAGTGCAGACAGAATACGATTTAGAGTATCAAGGTCCCTCCATGGCTGCGCGTGAAAGATTCTTGTCAACGCTCACTAAAATGCGGCTTCGACTACAGCGCGATAACATTGCGCAGATTGCTGTGTTAGAGGTTGTCCCCGCGAGCAATGAAGTTGTTTCTAGGAAATCGCAGTCGGGGCCATTAATCTGTATCGCAAACGTACATATTTTCTCCAATCCAAAGTTTCCGGACGTGAAGTTGTGGCAGACAAATATGCTTGCGAAGCAGGTACGTCTATCGTAAGCCCAAATCAAAATCTTGGTTGGCTGACCTTTTATCTTGTGATTGTGCTCCTGATAGCTTGAGCGGGTGACCTTGAGTCGCAACTTGCCCACAATCTTATGTGGTGATTTCAATAGTGAACCGACTAGTGCTGTGTACGAATTTATGACGCGCAATCATGTTCCAGTTGACCATCCAGATATACAATATCCACCGCCTCAGCTCGCAAGCATATATGCGTCATTGGACTTAGAGCATAATATAGGCTTTGCTAGTGCCTATGCTTCAGTTTTTGGCGCTGAACCTGAGTATACAAATTACACAGGTATGTTTACTTGTTCAACTCACGCGATCTATATTATGCTCAAATCGCCACACTCTTGCTATCAGGTCACTGGACAGGTGTCGTAGACTATGTATGGTACACACCTGAGACGTTGACCCCGTTTGCCGGGCTCAAGGTCCATTCACCTGAAGTGCTTAAACGCTATTCGAAAACTGCGCTGCCTAATTGTCAATTCCTTTCAGATCACGTACCTCTCTGTCTAGACTTCAGCATTAAGGCAAGCGCTAATAACAATGGAAGATACTGATAGAATGAAACATTAAAGTTTGCGTGATATGTCACAATTACACCACCAGCTGACTACAACCACTTAATTCTCTGTCCTGCACAATCACTCCTCGCTACGATGCAAACATCGCAGGTGTACGCGGTAGACCGCGTTTACGGTGACTTGCAGCCGCAGTTTGTGGTCAAAGACGTGCTGAAAGCGCTTTCACAGCTGGACGCAGTAGTAGGAGATGTATTTAATCGCCTGTTACATAAAGTTTCACAAGAGAAAGAGCGTGTGACCGCCGTGGATAAGCGCATTCAAGTGTGTCAGGCCAAAGTGAACGCGCTCACAGCGCGTCGTACGAGTAACAAACCTACGACTGTCTTTTCTACTTCGAGATATCCTGCGCCTAAGCATCTTCCATTACCCACGACGTTGTTTCATGATAAGCCGTTTGCTGACGCGCCACAGCTGATACCCGATGCTGACGATGACACGCACTTCCTGCCGGCTGAGCCACTTCCTCCAGCTCGCAGGGGACAACATATGGCCGAAGTAATGGAGCTATTCGAAAAGGTGAACGAGTATCAGAAGACACAGCAGCCCGAAGCGGATATGGAGAAGGAAGGACTGGGCAGATTACCCGAATACATTCCATCCGTTGGCAGTGTGTTGCTATTCAACTCTGGAGAAAATCCTTACCAGAAGGTAAAAGGAATGTCGATTTTGTCAAGCATCTTTTTTATACTGAGGATCGCTTTGTGTGATGTAGTACACGTCATGGGATAACCTTCTGGGTATCGATTACGAAGAGGAAGAAGAGAAACGAAAGGAATTAGCTAAGGCACCGCGAACAATCGAATACGGAGATAAACTGGTATGTGGAATGAGGACATTGCATCTTGAATGGATCAACAAAGACTTCATATCTGACAAAATTGTGATGGTGTTCTTATTAGCCGGCTGTGCATGGACTTAATTACGACTTTCATCCGTCAATGGGTATCATGCCCGATATGTCAGCCAAGCTACCGATGAATTTGCCGCTCGAAAACATTGCCGATTACAAGTACGCGCAAGAAAGCAGTACGTCGATTGCACCATCTATGTTTCAGGATAAAACGTTGCCAGACTTGCCGGCGATCGCCAACTTCGAGGAGGGACCAATGGCGCAGGAGCCAGCAGATATAAACTTCCAGATTGGTCCTGTGGATGGCGCTCCTCCACCACCTCCACCGGCACCGACTGTAGACTTCACTAAGATTAATGATGATACTCCACCCCCGCCACCACCTCCCCCTCCAAGAGATGAGGATGATGACTCAGCTCCACCTCCGCCCCCGCCGCCAATGGCAGATATCGAAGATGATAATACTCCGCCACCTCCCCCTCCGCAAGAGGTGAGGCCTCAGTGACAACACTATTTTTCCTGAGAGTGAACCTCATTTCTATTCCCATTCTTTTCAACAGGACGAACCTCCAGCGCCACCTCTCGAAAATCAGAAGCCGACTGCAATCAGCTTTCTGGACCAGATCCGTAATCCCAACATAAAGCTCCGAAAAGTAAGGTTTTATATGCGTGCCTTGCCGTAACGTTTACTTTGCTAATGTTTCATGCTGAATTCAACAAAAGGTGAGCTCAACTGAAGATAGATCGAATTCGATTGCAAAGACAGGAGATAGCACCAACAAACCATTGACAATCGCTGAAGAAATGCAGCAGCGCATGTTGCGGCGACAAGCTGCTATCAGTGGCAAGCAAGATCAGATGGAGCAAAGGCGCGAGCGCGAAAAGGCAGCTGCAAAGCCTATGACTGTGCTTACCGCGAAGGAAGTGACTCCACCAATCCAGCCTCCACCACCTCCTCCTCCCTCCGACAATGGACAGTACAATAAATTGCCTACAATAGCCATGTCGGACGATGGCAGTAATGACGGCCGTGACCACCTTTCAGATGACAACAAATCGAATGAAGGTGACGACTTTCTAGCCCAAATCCGAAGTATCAAGAGAAAGCAGGAAGGAGGCTCCGTTATGCCGAAACAACCACAACCACCTAATGTGATAGAAACCAAGAACCCCATCGCTAATTTTGAATCGGTGCGTGCTAACTTTACTTTGTTGATATAATTTCATTACTGATACTTGTTTGATACAGCAAATGGTCGGACTCCGTAACCGCGAAAATTCTTTCAGCATGTCTGAAGCATCGGAATGGTCGGATGAATAGCACAAGAAGCTGTCACAACCTAATTACTTTTCGTGTTTAATATCTAATTCTGTGTTCATCATAGTTCTTTAAATATCAATTTCAAATGAGTGTTATATGTATAATGTGATTTATCTATCAACGAACCAATTATGAATATTTTCCTGTTGATGATTGCTTTCAAACTTTGTGTCTCAACTTTTATATTGCTGACTTTCTGATTCAAATTTAGAACGTTTCTATGTTGACTATTTAGTACTTAGAGGATGTTGCTTTCATCGTCAATCAAATGTTATCGAAGTCTATTGGCACAACTTGAATTTTGGTAATTTGTCCCGCAGCGATTCCGACTACTTCTTGGATGTGCAGTCATAACGAATCTCAAATTCTTTGTTGAGACGAAAGATTGCTATTTAATCGAAGCCAGCATCATCTCTGACGAGCAATCTTGAGAACACATTTCGCGCTTTGACTTAAAGAAGATAGCAAGCCGTTTCAAGCGATCAGATATGTCGTATCATACTAAACTCACCATCAAATTTGTAAGCACCCACACACGGCACAGAAGCACAATGTTGATGTGTATTCGCGATGCCCATAAGCTGTACTGCTGCGGTGTAATAGTTTTAATTTAATCGCGACACTGTGTATCATTCTCCTTTGCTCTATGCCACAGGTCGTTGCAACGTTGTCTCGAATGTCACGTGTTGGGTAAATGATACCCGCTTGCGTTTGCGCAACGAGGCTGTAAGTGCTCGTGGCTTAGCACGCTTTGCTGCAATGCCAGTCTGCGACCCCCACTTCAAATGATTAAAAAGCGCCTCTGTCAAGAGGTGTTCGCGAATGACCCCGTCGTTCACCAATGGACGTACTTTGCCATACAGATCACTAACACTCATGGTCGGAAAGCGTACGAGCTCCATCATTTCCGCCAATAAGTCGCCCAAAGATTTTTCAGCATAAGCAACTCGAGACTCGCCCCACATCACAAGTGCTTCCATGAGTGCCAGCTCTCGGATCTGCAGCTCGTCTTGTGGAATTAATTCCAGCAGTATTTTCTCTGGTAGTTGAACAATTTGTGGGTCGCAGAATACTTCATGAGCATATCTCAGTACAAAATCCTTGCACATTTCTCGAAGTGCTACCAATTCATACATCTCCGCTGCTATTAGCAATCCAAGCACACTTTCTAGATTTAACACCACGTCTCCCGTATACATAAAGTGCAGCATCTTTTCCACGGTATTCGGCTCAATATCATGTAACACCACATCTCTTAACGACGACTCACGCATGTTTCCTGTCAACATTGCACGAAATGGAGGCGAACTAGCCGCCAAAATAAATCTATGGGCAAAAAAGCGTCGGACTTCTCCTGCTTTGCTCCCATTCTTTGCATCAATCATACTTCCATTTCCCTCTCGATAATTGTCAGTACTTTTGACACAAAGCACGACATCTGCACCAATCATTGATTCCCCAAAGCTCTCGTCTCCTTCACCAATGACCGCCTTTTTCATCCTTACAGATAAATTTTGATGGTCTGAACATGCCATTGACACTCGCTTCTTAGATCCACGCCTTCTTACTGGTCGATTAGACCTCAAACTCATCTCGGACGACGTCTCGGATCTCGAGTCTTCGTCGTCATTGGACAAAGGAGTTGTTGACTCTACGTCAGCAGATGGCGACAAAGTGGCTGCTGCAGGGCCCGTGGGCGAGGAAGTCAATGCTTCAGCCATCGGTAATGGCGGCGAAGATGGCGAAGAGCGTCTTTGTATCGGAGGAGGGCTTAAGCCTCGCTCTGTCGCCGGCAATTCTTGCGTCACCTGGTCATCGACAGGAATCTGCGTCTCTTCTTCGTCGTCTGAATCTTCCTCTTCGGAGCTTTCTGCCATTTGTCTCCCAAGTTGAGCTTGACGTGAAATCTCTTGGATATTGTTATGGACGTCTGGTCGATGAAGTGCTGACATATGATGTATAGGAGCGTCGCCAACAGTACATGGACTGGTTACACGCCCCACCATGACGATTTAACGGTAAAATAGTTGGCAAGAAAAAGAAAGTATTATTAAAAGTCACACACCGTAATATTAATTACTCTTTGTGGCGTCGGCAACTGCACAGTCTTGATCAATAGCTTTTTTAGCTTACCTGATCTGTAAAGTCAATGTGTGTGAATGTCTAGGTGCGGTGGTACTTTAAACTATCTGCTAAGCAATCATACAACGGGGCCAATGTGGCACCTCGACCATGAAAATTGGTCAGTTGGGTGTGTAATGCTGCAAACATTTAGCGTGATTAGATTAAGGCCACCTTCAATGGACAATAATGACAGCTTGGCCGAGTGGTTAAGGCGATGGACTTGAAATCCATTGGGGAAACCCGCGT